GACTTGCTGTGTATGTATATGTGTACATATGTAATACAGTCACATCTAATAACATACTAAGATTAAATTAAAATAGTTGGGAGTAAACATGAAAGTCATATAAAATTAGTCTTTAGCATTCACATTTACCAACCTTAATGCTACTCATGCTGAACTGAAACTCCTCGTTTGAGCACAAATTTTGTAAATATAAAGATACAATCAGAGGACTAAGGTATTGGCTTGAAAACAAATACCTTCAAGCGATTTAATGGAGAATTTAGTTGTTAACTGCACTTAACACAGGTTCAGAAACAATGTACTATGGGTTACGAGTAGCATTTGTCACATTATTATAAATAACATAATTAATTACTTGTAGTATAACTTGGAGAAAAATTATCAGAAAGGATATACTTAAATAATATAAAATAATAAGGGGTAAGTTATGTATTATAAATTATAAATATCATAGAAGTTCACAACAAGAGAAAGAGGTAATTGTTATCAACAAATTATCAGCCAAAATTAAGTTTTAATTAGAATTAGGTTTGGGGTCCTAGATGTACGCATATATCCAGGGTAGTTCTGTAATTTGAGAGTTGGGTCCTGTGCAATCATCTACTTAGAGTCTACTTCATTTTTATAGATTAAAAATATAGATCCAAAGAAGACCTATAACTAGTAAGAAGTAGGATCCAGAGTTCAATGACGGTTTCTGTCTTCAGGGCTGATGCCAATTTCCACCGCTTTTCAATCAAATGATCTGCAAGTATCAGACTTGAGAGACAAGATGAGTTTTGGATAATCTACTAATAAAAGCACAGATAGGAAGCATATGTGTCAATTCTATGCCCTGGTAGCATAGTGGATGATGCCTTGGGAGGCTAACCTCCAGGCACCAGTTCAAAACGACCAGCCACCACTAGATAAGAATGAAGCTTCACAATCCTGTAAAGAGGTACAGTCTTGGAAACTCACAGGAGCAGTGCTCCCTCAATCTGGAGGCCCGATGGCAGTGAGTTGGGTTAAGGGCTGTAGATGGAACAAGGGCCCAGGGGCCTCTCTGTTGAGTCTCCCTTGAACTGTTCCCTGCGAGGCTGGGCGTTCTGATCTACCTGCCACTCTCCTCCAGTAGAGGTAGATGGCCTCAGAAACACTATATAGGCTGGTTATGAGGCAGAATCTACTTGATGCAGGGGAGGGTTTTTGTTCTGTTTTATTTTTGTTAGATTAAATAGTATATCCGTCTATCATTATATGTAAATGCTTAAATTAGTGCCATTTTCTAAAAATTTACCATTTTAACTGACCTCATCACGCAAGTGTCAGTACACATCTTTAAGAGAAAGCACGTTCTTTCTTTCTTGTAGAGGGTGCTGGATTCATTTTATTTCTTGGTCTCTTTCCTTCTGTAATCATTTCTATCTAGGGAAAATGAGGCAATTCCCCAAACTGGTTCATAAGAGAAAGGGTGTTTCCGTCGGTTCCCTCTTCCCCTGAGAGAGAGCTGCTCACAGGGCGGCCTCCCTGCAGACCCCTCCCTGATCTCTCTCTGCTGGATGGTTCTTGACTTGCTTCTGGAGGAATTTAAAATCACTTGCCAAAGGTTTCAACTTGACCTTTACAATAATAAAGGTGATGTTTGATATTTCCCTAACTATTCTTTTATTTTCTACTTCTTAAAAATTAATGGAAAGTAGCAGGAAGGACCCTAATGACATAATGGGTTGTGCATTAGACTGTTAACCACAAGGCCAGCAGTTCAAAACCACCAGTGGTTCTGTGAGGGAGAAAGATGAGGTTGTTTACTCCTACAAAGATTTACAGTCTGGGAAAGCCACAGGGGCTGTCCTATAGGGCCACCATGGGCTGGAATTGCCTTGATAGGAGTGAGTTAGGGGTTGAGCGACTAGGCAGGAGATTGTATACCAAATATTCTTTGAGAGCTGGAAGTCTTACAATTAAAATTCAGGTAACTTGGTAAAATTCATTTGGACGTTTGTTTTGAGAACTGCCCTCAGGGGCATGCGGTGGGTTCTGACTCATAGAGCCCTGTAGGGCTGCGTCAAATCACCAGTCTGGGTTTCTGAGATTTTAAATCTTTACAGGAATAGATAGACTCATTTTTTACCCAGGGAGCCCTGGGTGGATTTGAACTACTGAACTTGTATGTTTGAACTGCTGACCTTGTGGCTCAATTGAGAACAACAGTCAGTGTTCTTCAGGGAATATCAAGTCACAAAACAAGAAAAGTGCAGCACTAAGGTACTGATGCCAAAAATGTGTGCTCTTTTAAATATATTACTTTTAAACCAATCGAGATAATGTCACAACCTATAAAAACTATGCTGTTATGCAGACAAAAAGTACGATTATCATTACTATTGTTACAGCCTTTTGAAAAGAATTTACTATAGTCTTCCTTTAAACCCGATTTCCTTAAACTTGTGGAATATCAGAAAAATCTCAGGTTTGGAACTTAGCAGGCAAAGTGATAGAATCTGTTTTGCTTCTCATACATTAGGTGAGTTTGGATGGTCTTTTTAGCCTCTCTAGACCTCTTTGTATTTTTAATTCCAGCAAAATATAAACTTTGATTATGTTTGAGTTTTTTAAGAGAATAAAATAAACTTGACCAAAAGGCTAGAGAATTTAACATGCTAACAGGTAATTAATGTTCAATCATAAAAGAAAGTATATTTGAAAGCATAAATTAGGTCAACTGGAAAATATGATTTAATGTTGTCCATGGACTCAGGCCACCTTTAATGAAAAGGTTGTATAGTTTTCCAGGTATTTAAAATATGAACTAATAAGAAAGAAAACTCAAGTCATTAAAGTAGCAACAGGTTTTTCTCTAGGTCCAATACATGAAAAGGAGCCAGAGTTTGACTAAAATTGCATACAAAATTATACACAAAAAACACTTGCCCTGGAGATCCCCAGCCCCTGCCCCCCAAACCTGGGAGTGTTGGAAATTCCCTTTGCCACTGAATACTGAAAATCAACACTGAGCTCCAAATCTCTGCTTATATTGGCTGTGGGGGGCTTCAAGCTGACTACAGTAAGGCAGCCAAGCCCAAAATGCACACTTGAATACAATTCATTGACTTCCTGTCTGTCTGGAGATGTCAGCAGGCTGTAAATCACCAAATTCCCTTTGGGTTGCGGTCCACACCTGCAAACCAACTTAGTCACCAAGTAAGCCTGTTCTCTCCTTTCCAAAAGGCTGCTACTCTGGTTTCCATAAGTAACTGGATACGATTTCACATTTGTAGTTTATCTGTGGGGCTTTCACAAGTGCGCACTATTTTCGCTCCTGTCCAACTACAGAGTTTCAGAGTCTTAGAGGAGGAAGCTGTTGTTCTCAAATTCAAAGTCATTTGAACTAAAGATAGCAAGAAGGTTGACCCCACCAAATCCTCACTTGTGTACAACATGAAGGCATGAAGGGATAAGATGAGGACGCAAAGGAGATGCAGTTTTTTATGTCATTTTAAATGAAAATGTCAATTACTAGGGAAAGTTTTGGGTGATTAATGTTTTTATTGTAAATTTCTCAATTTTTTTCCCTGACACATAGCACAATTTTTGATATTGGTCTACATTAAATAATTGAGCTCCCAAAGTAGAAGTATTTAAAAGAAAGATATCTAGGATCCACTTTGCTAGGGATAGAAGGAGAGATTTTATAGTTAGATGAGAGAAATGCCCCCTCTTAATGCATATAGCAAGGTAATTTATAGATCCTTGCAAGATTTTCTGACCCATTATCTAGTGTTTTTTTTGTTTTTGTTTTTTTATCTAGTGCTTTAATGTAATTTAAATATCAACTTAAATGGAAGGGAATTTCACCCTTTTTGAAACTTGTAACATTTTTAGAAATCAGATTTAAGTACTTGAAGCTATTAAGTACTATTATTGGAGCCGATGAATCCTTAGGGAAGGATGTTTTGCTTTGTAATAGAATTGCCTTTCATTGTCCATGGATGGAAAGGAGTGCCTAAAGGAAATATATGTTTAATGTATTTATTAGGAATGGCCACACATTTTTGTTTAAAATCAAAGATGTACTCAAAGAAAAATATCTTCTAAAGGCTAAGTTTTTACTTTTATCATAAATAAGACATTACAACCTGCCAATGTATTGAATAGTAAGTTGCTTTTTGTCTTTATTTTTCCCCCAGCAGTTAAAGTCAAGGTACCATCATTATAAAGTTATCTGTGATTTTACTGAGCTGCTTTTTTTGTGTTTTACTTTTAAGAAAACAATATACATATTTCTGAAATCTATCAGAAGGACTTCACTATCCAGTGATGATAGTTCTATTCAGTTGAAAATAAGCAGCAATTTCACCCATGAGTATGGACGTCAGTGTCTCATTTTCCCGGCTAAGAGCTCAGAGGAGCCCACAGCCCCCCAGAGGCTTCCCCAGGTGATCCCAGACTGGAGAGCTTAGCAGAGACTCAAAAAGCATTCTGGGAATCATTTGTGACGTGATGCTGAGATGCCTGCAAGAGGATAATCATGTAATTTTGAGAAATAAATGTTTAAAAATCAAATATAAGCTAACAGTGAGGAAAACAGAGAACTTGTAAGATTGTATCAGGCACTTGGTTGAGGTCTGAAGTCAGTTGGTTTGTGTGCAGAGCAATGTTATTAATGTCTCATTGCAGCTCTTTAAACTCATTTCTGGTCTAGGAGAAGAACCCTGGTGGTGTAGTGGTTATGTGTAGGACTGTGA